CCTCAGGATTGGGATAAGCCGGAGCACATTCCTGACCCTGATGCCAAGAAGCCGGAGGACTGGGATGAGGAGATGGATGGGGAGTGGGAGCCTCCGGTGATCCAGAACCCAGAGTACAAGGTAAGGCTGGCCCACGGGCTGGGTCTGCAGCAGGGGTCTAGAGTGCCTGATTGCAAACTTGCATGAACGTCGTGGCCTTCTGTCGGTTGAGGAGCCGCAGCCCTGCTGCAGTCGGTGCTGAGTATCTGTGTACCCAGGGGATGAGGCCTGACACTCACCAGTTACTGCCTTGGAGTGATAAATGCACCCCGTTAAGGTCTCCTGCCCTAGAGAAAGGCATGAATCCCCATAACACCTCTGTGCAGTGCCAATGAGCATTCCCTTCTTGGTGCCACCTCCAGCCCTCTGCAAGGGGATGGGCTTATGCCCTGGAGGGAGGAGATCAAGACCCTGGTAACTCCAAACTATTGTGGCAACACTGTGCCAGTCTAATCATCTTCATGCTGAGCTAGTCCTGGGTAAGGAGGGACTCTGGGACCTTCCAAGGGTGGGCTGGAGAGCAGAGATTGAACAGGCATGTTCCCTGGTTCTTGAGTTGGCACGTGGCTGCTCAGTCATAGATACCAAGGCCAGAGGGGACCATTGTGATCCTCCAGTCACGTTGGACCTCCTGCCTAACACAGGCCAGTGAACTGGCCTGCAGTAATTCCTAGATCAGAGGTTCTGGGGAAAATCCCCAGTCTTGATTTTAAAAACGGCCAGTGATGGAGAATCCACCGTGGCCCTTGGTTCAGGGTTCCAGATCGGCATGGGAAGAATCCATGGCATGCTAGCACTGGGCTCCCCCCCTGGCAGCCTCAGCCCAGTCCAGCTGTAGGTGAGAGCCCTTGTGTTCCAACTCCCCTTAATAAAGTCTGGGCCTGTGATCCTCAGGGTGCTGTGTGCACTGAGGGAGGCTGCCTGTCCACTCCTACAGCTGCAATAGCTTCTGGCAGAGCTGGTGTCCCCATGTCAGGCCCATTCCCTGATCTTTCTCCCCCTGTAAGACCAGCTGCAATCCCTCTCCCCACTCACTGGTTTCTCACCTGCTGTTTTCCTGCTCCCCAGGGGGAGTGGAAACCCCGCCAGATCGACAACCCTGACTACAAAGGGAAGTGGGTGCACCCTGAGATCGACAACCCGGACTACACCCCCGACCCCAGCCTGTACTCCTACGACAGCTTCGGCGTCATCGGCTTGGATCTGTGGCAGGTGCGCTCCTCCCGAGAGGGCTGGTGGGGAGCAGGACTCAGCAAGCTCTGTATCGCATAGACCGTGCCACCTTGCGCTGGGGTGGGAACTTGCCTTTAACTGGGCTCTGCTTCAGACCGAGCCCCAGCTGCATTAAAGTGCTGGGGTATCCAGTCTGATGGGACGGGGGCCTTGTGCCTGGCTGTGCTGCTGGCAGTGCTGCCCCCTGTTGGCAGATACCGTAACTCTCCCTCAGGGACTCCTGGCTCCTGTATGTCTGAACGCGCTTCCCAAGCCAAAACAGATGCTTATCTCTTGCCCAATCGGCCTCAGCCTTGGCTGAGCAGCAGTAAGTTCTCTTCTGGGCAGGACTTGACTCTCTTAACCCTTGTCTTGCTGGCTGACAGCCCCTCCCCTTCGCTTGGGGGGACATGGGCGAAGTCGCCCTGGGGCGCCTGGCTGCTCCCTGATGCGCACTCACTGGCTCGCTATCCTTTCAGGTGAAATCTGGCACTATCTTCGACAACTTCCTGATCACGGACGACGAGAAGTTCGCAGAGGAGTTTGGCAATGAGACCTGGGGAGCCATCAAGGTAATGACTGCCCCTGGGGAGCGCTCCTGCTCCTCCAGAAGAGATTTCCCCTGCCAGGACAAGTCCTCCTCCCTTTGGGTCAGCATGGGGGGCACCACCGCTCTGAGCCAGAGCCCATGCTGCTGTTGGGCAGTGCGGTGACTGAGTCACCCCCTGAGCCGGAGGAAGGACCCACAGCTGTTCAAGGGGCTCCACTGGGAATCCTAGTGCAGGGAAAGGCAAGCTGAGTCCAGGGGCTTTGCTGCATCTCTTGTGATGGGGCTGTTCGGTTCTAATGGGGCATAGAAACACCTCAAACAATCTGATGTGGAGAGGGAGAGGCCGGATAGTCCAATAAATGTTCTGAAACCTAAACCCTCTAATCTAATGGCCGCCCATCCTCTGAGTGGAAAGGGGCCAGGATGGGTCTATGGCTGAAGCAGGACTCCTGGCCTCTTCCACTGAGGTGCTGGGCACATCCCAACCGCTCCTGGCCTGAGTTTCCCTATCTGAAGTGAGGCACATGTTCTTGCCAAGGCATGAAGGTTTAAGGTGGTCTGAAGCTGTTCAGAGCATTGAGTAGAGTCCAGCCTCCTGGCCTACTCCGTTCCTTGCAGCCTCTCTCCTTCCTCCAGGTACTTATCTGAGCCCCTGGCCCAACCCAGCCCACTGGCAGTATCCTCCCCCCTCGTGCAGATGGGGAAACTGAGGCATGGGCTTGCCAAAGGTTACCCAGGGAGTCTGGTAGAGCAGGGAATTAGAACCTGGGGCCCAGGCTAGCACCCAAACCGCTTGCACCATCTTCCCGCTCCCTTTTGGCTAACTCGTGTCGTTGTCAATCTCCAGGATGCTGAGAAGAAAATGAAGGAGCAGCAGGACGAGGAGCAGAGGAAGAAACAGGAGGAGGAGGACAAGAAGCGGAAAGAGGAGGAAGGGGACGAGGAGCCTGAAGGGGACGATAATGAGGAAGAGGAGGACGATGATGACGATGAGCCAGAGAAGGAGGAAGAGGAGGAAACGGAGGGACCGCTGAAGGACGAGCTGTAAAAGGCCGTTCCCACAGCACCGCTCCTCCGCTGAGCCTCACCTTTGGCCCACACCATGGGGCTCGCTTGGTTAAACCCAAATAAGGAGAGGGGGAGGGGATACAGTAATGTCTCTATGAGACTTGAACTTTTTTTATTGGTGTTTTGTTTGTGGTTTGTTTTTTATTTCACATGCCCCCAATGCCATCAATGATCCAGTCATGAGTCCAGGTCTGGGCCCTGCAGTGTATGAATGTATGCTAAGGTTAACTGTAGAAATGTAACCCTTGGCTCAGACAGGAACAGCAGCAACTACTCTTAATGGTGGCTGGCTTCTCTACTGGCTCCTGTCCTCCAGATGCTCTGCAAAGGGATATGTAGGAAGCAGCGAACCACTTGCCCTCCTTCCCCAGTCACCTGCCCTGCCCCTCCCCTCCCTTCTCACATGAAGCAGATTCCAACCCCTGCTCCCATGTCAGTGACCTGAGTGGGTGGGATGGTAGGGTTGGCTTTTCCTCCATCCTAGCACAGCTTTGGTGAACCAAGGGGTTGGACTCTACTAGACTGCAGTATTATGCCTCATTTTCAGCAGTCTGTTCTCACAGGGAACTGTCCAGCTGTGGGGAGAGCTCCTGCTTAAAATGAGTGGATGGATCCATTTCCCACTATGTTGCTGCTGCATTGTTTTTGACAGCTGAAGCGGCTGTCCAAACTAAATCCACAGTTGAACAGAAAGTGCTTTTAATGGCGCAGACTAAGTGGGATGTGTAACTAAGCAATTTCCTCCCCTTTCTTTGGACTCTAAAGCAAACATCTGTAGTTCCTTGATCTTCTGTAACATGCCTGACACCTCAGGAATCCCCTTGGAAATTGCATAGAGCTACTGTGGAGGGGAAATGGGGCACGGGCTAGAATGAAGAGAATGTTGTCTTGGTGAGGGAGGTCACAGAACGCTGGGGTGGGGGGAGCGTGGTGGACAGAATGGGGGTTGGTAGATGGTAAGGGAGCAGGATATGGAGTCCAAGCTTCTAACTACTCTGAACTGTATTGTGGGTGGGAGTGAAGGGCAGAGGTAGGGGTTCAGAGACTTCTCATGTTCACACTTGAATGTATGAATGATTGAAGAAAATTTCTATTAAATTAAATTTCATGTCTAGCCTCTGGCCTGGTTTCCATGGGGTCTCTTCTCTTCCTGGGATCTGAGTGGTGTGCAGTCACTGCCGCTGGGGGGAACCAGAGTAGTAGCTAAACCAATCACGTAATATACTCCGGCAAGGATTTTTAGCTGCCCCCTTTGTAAAAAGAGAGCAATGGTCTCGGGTGCAGGCCCCCCCGGAGATACACCATCCACATTCCAAGTAGGAAGACACAGCCCCACTCGGGTTTGGCCCATCTGCCCTCTAGGATGGGAAGGACTAAAGTGAGTGGTGGTGTGACCCTGCCGTCTGCACCAGCTCACAAAACTGCTTTGGGGGCAGGAGCTTGATCGCTTTTGGGGGCCCAAGGGGGCCAGTGGGTGGGGAGATGGGCAATAGGCTGCCATGGAGCCAGGTGCTGTCTAAGGAAGGAGCCAGGCCCACCCTCGGTCCTGCTGTATATTTGTAGAATCAGTGCAGCTTAGCCCACTGATTCTCAGGGGCCACCACTCTGCTGAGAAACTTCATGCCAAACTTCGAAGAGTTGACAGGTACGGCTCAGGCTCGGCCCGGGTAGGGGGACCAGACAGCAAGTGTGAGAGGTGTGTGTGTGGGGGGGGGTGTAAGAGGAGCCTATATAAGAAAAAGACCCTAACATGGGGCCTGTCCCTAGGACATCCGGGCCCCCTATGAACGATCCCCTGCACTGTATGGGGGGCGCAGGGCGCCCGCTCCCCGGCCTGCGTGGGACGGACAGGGGCGTCCTGCCCTCCCCGCCAGGGACACGCGTGGGAGTCACGGGCCGCGCTGCCCGCTGGGAGCGGCGGGGCTCGCGGGCCAAGCGCTCAGCCATGTTAGCCCAGCGGGGCGGCCATTTTGTGTCCCCCCCGTCACGTGATCGCCCCCCCCCCCCGTTCCCCTCACGCGGTTGCCTCAGCCCCCGCTCGGCGTCGCGGCGCCCCCTCCCCCCGTCACGTGATCGAGGCCCGCGCTTGCCCCTGTCACGTGCCGGGCCCGCGCCCTGGCCGGGGCCGGAAGCGGCGGGGCGCTAAGATGGCGGCGGCGTGAGTTGCATGTTGTGGGGCTGCCGAGTCCGTTGGGAAGAAGCGTCCGCCCGGCGCGCCCCGCCCCGCCCGCCCGCCATGGCGGTGACCGTCACCCTCAAGACGCTGCAGCAGCAAACCTTCAAGATCCGCATGGAGCCCGAGGAGACGGTGAGGGGGGCGCGGCCCTAGCTCAGCCCACCCCCCCCGTGGGGGGCAGCCCCCCCCCCCCCCGGCCCGGCCCCCCCCCCCGCACAATCCCAGCTCCCTCTTCCCGTGTGGGGCCAGACCTCCCCCCTCCCGCCACACATGGTCCTGCACCAATTCCCCCCCATGTGGGGCCAGACCCCCCCCCCCACACACACACACATGGTCCTGGCCCAAAATCTCCCTCTCCATTTGGGGCCAGCCTCCCCCCTTCCACATGGTCCTGCACCAATTCCACCCCCTCTCCCCATGTGGGGCAGCCGCCCCCCCGTACGATCCCAGCTCTCTCTTCCCTTGTGGGGCAGCCCTCCCCTCCACATGGTCCTG